CACCAGCTCCCCCGCGCGGGTGACGAACACTCTCTGCAGCTTCAGCAGCTGGAACAGGTGATAGGCCTGGGGAAGGTGACAGCAGGGACCCGTGGGGACAGGGCCACCCCCTGGGTGTGACACACAGCTGCTGGGGGGGGGTAAATGTCTCCCAGGACACGTGTCCTGTCCCCCCCCCACCCCAAACCTGGTGCAGGGATGTCCACGGGGACAGCTGGAGCATGATGGGCTCGATGGCACAGTCGTCTCCGAGGGTCCCCACCGGAGCCACCTGGGGCAGAGCAAGAGTGTCCATTCTGGGGTGGAAAACCAGGGGTTTGGGGCACATCAGGGTGCTCCCCCTGCTTTACCTTCTCCCCTGGGGGTGCCTGGGGGTGCTGGTGGCTCTGGAGGAAGGTGACCAGCTGGGCCCTGCTGACGGTGCCCACCAGGGTGGGTGACCCTGGAGGATGGGGACAATCCCAGTGACCTCCACATGGTCACAGTGACACCCCCATACCCCTAATCCCCCCTGCACTGTGACTCTGGAGAAGGGGGACAATCCCAGTGATGTCCCTCACAGCCACAGTGACCCCCCCATCCCCCAAACCTGCGCTCTCCACCACGGGGTACTCAGCGTCGGCAGAGGCATCCAAAGCCCCCAGCACCTCCTGGAAACCATCCCCCTTGGCCAGGGCCACCACCTGGCGCTGCATGAACTCCTCCACCATCACCCTGTACGAGCTGGAGAGCACAAAAAAAAACCAAACAACGAACACCTCAACTTGCATCAAACCCACCCCGAAACGAGTTTTTTTGGGGGGCGGGGGGTGTGTGTGCCTCACGCGGTGTGGCGGCTGCGGATGGGGGGCAGGTAGGGCAGGTTCTTGACGATGATGGGGGCATCGAAGAAGGACGGCTGGTTCTTCTGGGTGATGGCGTTGGCCACCAGCACGGCCAGCACGGTGGGCAGCAGGTGGCCCAGGTGCCCCGTGGCCTCGCACACCAGCAGGGCCGTGGACACCGCGTAGGTCACCGAGCCCGAGAAGGCGGCGGCGCCTGGGGAGGAGGGGAGAGACCCCCGGGAGAGTCAGGGGTGGGCGGGGGGTGTCCCCCCACCTCTCCCCACCCCTGGGGGTGTGTCCCCTCCCACCGACTCACCGGCCAGGGCGTATCCCGCGGGAATGATGGGACGAAGGGGGCCCTGGGGATAGAGTCCCCGCGGGAAGAGCAGGGCCACCCCCTCCCCCAGCAAGCGCCCGATGGCGGCTCCTGAAATTGGGGGGGGGAGAAGGGGGAAATACCAGGAGCGCCCCCCCGAAATAGCTGGGGGTGACCACCCTCCTGCAGCTCCCCCGGGGCTGGACACACCCCTGGACACAGGGCTGGATACAGGGCTTGGACCCCCAGGATTGGATGCGCCCCCCCACACTCACCCCCCAGGGCTGGGTACGCCCCCAGAGTGGATAGACCCCCTCCCCAGGGCTGGGTACACCCCCAGACTGGATGAACCCCCTCCCCAGGGCTGGGTACACCCTCAGTGCCCCCCCAGACTGGATGGATAGACCCCCTTCCCAAGGCTGGGTATGCCCCCAGACTGGATGGATAGACCCCCTTCCCAGGGCTGGGTACACCCTCAGTGCCCCCCAGACTGTGCCCCCCTCCTCACAAGCTGGATACACCCCCCGTACTCCCCAGTCTGGCTGTACCCCTGGACACACCCCTGTACCCCCTCCCAGGACTGACTGTACCCACCCTGAGGGCTCAACCCCCGCCGTGTCCCCCCGTCCCTCCCCCAGCTCACCGTAGATGAAGATGGGCATGAAGTACCCTGCGGGCAGGGGCAGGGTGGTGGCCAAGATCAGCATCCAGAACTGGGGGGCCGGCACAGACACGGGGAGGGGGTCACCCCACGGGGACACCGAGCTGGGGGCACTCACAGAGCTCGGGGGGGGCGGTGGGGGAGGGCACAGCTACCTTCATGACCAGGAAGAAGGCCAGGGTGCCGAAGATGGTGGCAGAGGGGTGGTCCCACTCCTGCCACAGCCCCCCGGGCTCGGCCGCCCACGAGGTGTTGGGGGTCCGCACGGCCCACGTGTGGTTGTCGAAGAGGGAGGTGAGATATTCCTTCATGGTGAGCTGGATGGACACGGGGACGGACAGATGGGACACCCTGAGCGCCCGCTGGGACGTTTTGGGGTCCCAGGGGAGCCCCCCGTGCCCCCCACTCACCCTGGAGGCCATGAGCTGCCCCAGCCCCGGGGGGAAGGTGATGGAGGACAGGAGCAGCACCACCAGCGCCGTGTACACGGGTTTGCTGCGGGGGCAGAGCGGGGCTGGGGCCGTGGGGACCCACGGACAGACAGGGGGACATGGGGATGGACGGGGGAGGTGTAGGGGGTGACCCAGGGACAGGCGGGGGGAGGGGTGTGAATGGATGCCACAGATGGATCCTGGACAGGAACACTTCCCAGGGGGACACAGGGACACCCAGGGGACACGGGGACACTCAGGGTGCACAAGGGGACAGAGGGACACCCAGGGGGCACGAGGGGGACATTCAGGGTGCACAGGGGGACACAGGGACACTGAGGAGGTATGAGGTGGGTGAGCAGGGGCCATGGGGAACACAGGGACACTGAGGAGGTATGAGGTAGGTGGGGGTAGGGGCCACGGGGGGGACATAGGGACACCCAGGAGGTATGGGGTGAGTGGGCAGGGGGCATGAGGGGGCATAGGGACACCCAGGGTGGGTGGAGGGGTGCAAAGGGACACCCCAAGGGCACAGGGGGGACACACGGACACTCGGGTCAGGGGCACAGGGTACACAGTGGGGGGGACACAGTGCATGGCATTGCCACACGGACACACAGGGTGCAGACAGACAGATGGACGGACGCCCAGTACGGACTCAGTCGCCAGCAGCTTGGCTGTCAGCCAGTTCCTCTTGACAGCCACCATCATCCAGCGCTGGCAGAAGAGGTAGGCACAGGCCACGAGCCCACACACCACTCTGCAGGGAGAGGGCGGGCAGGGGTGCAGGCAGGGTGCAGGCAGGGCACGGGCAGCCCCCCAAAGCGCCCCCTCCATACCCCAGAATCACAAAGAAGAAGGTCTCCAGGAGGTCGAAGGGGAAATCGATCCTGAGGTCGACCTTAAAAACAGCCACGATGGTTTCTGGGAGGGGGAGAGGAACGAGCGGGTGAGTTTGAGGGTGGGCACCCCACAGACGCTATCGGGGGGGATGTCAAGGGGGATGGGGGCCCATCCTGCCCACCCTGCCTTGCCTTGCTCGCTGTTGAGGACGGTGAGGAGGCGGAACATGAAGGCGCCGCAGGTGGCAGCGAAGAAGCCGCGCCAGTAATCGCGCACGGCAAAGTGGGGGGACATCACCTCGATGCTGAAAAGAACCCCTGGGAGAACACAGAGGGGGGTCAGGGCGAGATGCAGGGGACCCTGGAGTGGGGCTGGGGGGATCCTCACCGCTGACGGGCGCCCCGAAGACCGTGGCCACCCCGACGGCTTGCGCTGCCACCAGCATCTCGCGCTGCTTGAACTTGTTCTGCGGGGTCGGGAGAGGGGGTTTAGGCACGACCCCGATTTTTTTGGGGGGTAAAATAAATGCCCCCCACCGGTTTTTTGGGGGGTGGCACCCCCACCTCATACTCCCTCGTGACTGAGGTCCTCATCTTCCCCAGATAGGCCGCGGCCATGGCGGAGAGGTGGACGTAGGGCCCCTGGTGCCAAGGGGGGGATGCGGCGCTGAGTGTCCCCCAGCATGGCACCAACCACAACCACCGGCAGTTTTAGGGGTCTGGGGGGGGATCCCTCACCACTTTCCCAAGGAAAACAGTGCTGCCACACAGCAGGGTGCAGGTCAGCCCCACCACCTTGGCCCCAAAGTTCTGGATGGCCAGGTAGTCCTCCAGCACCACGCCCATCAGGATGGTCTTCAGCTCCGGGATGCCGGAGCCTGGAGTGAGGAGAGGGCAGCACCCAAATCTGAGGGGTCCTCCCTATTACCAAGGGGGAGTTCTGGGGAGCTGGAGAGGTCGGGGTGCAGCTGGCTCACCTGAGGAGTGTGGGGTGATGCTCTGGGAGAAGCCAGTGGAGAAGGTGGCCATAGCTATGGTGTACAGGGTCCACGAGAGGTACTTGAGCACCCCGATGTCCCCGATCTCTTGGTAGATCCAGTAGTGGGCTGGAGAAGAAGTGTTGGCAGGGAAAACAACCCCCCCCACCCCAAAGACTCCCCCCATATCCTCAGGGAACCCCCAAACTCCAGGTGAAGCCCCTCAGGGAGCCCCTCATTCACCTGCATAGACCCTGGAGATGAGGTGGTCCATCATGAAGCTGATGGTGGCCATGAGGACCCCCAGGATGAAGAGGAAGTACCAATCCTCCCCGACACAGAAAAGCTGCCGCTTCACCCACTCCAAGCACGCTGTGGGAGGGGAAAACAAGGTGCTGACCCCCCCAAAACACCCACCCCCACCCCCTCCAAAAAAATCTCCCTTTTTTGGGTGGGGGTCTCACCTCGAAGCCTTCTCCGGGCAGTGGGGCAGGGTCTCCACGTGTGCTTCGACACCAGCACCCTCTCCTCCTCCTCCTCGTCCCTCTCCCCCCGGGGCCCCCCAGGGACGGGGTGCTCCATCCCGGGGACCTTCCTGGGGACAGCACCCCCTTTCTTATGAGCACCCCCTCACCCGTCCTCCCGCCTCGGCCTCGGCTGTTGGACTGAGGTTGTAAACGAGCTCATTAAAAACGACCTTGACGGAGCCGACGGACCCGCTGGGGCCGGAGCGAGCCGGGTTTTCCCCTCCCTCCACCACCCCCGGGCTCCCAATCCCCGCGTACATCCCGCGGCGGGGAGGATTTAATAGGTGTTTTAATTAATTATCCCGATTATTCCTTAATAATAGGCACCGCATTCCACGGCGCTGAGGTGGGGGGGGACGGAGGGGGGTAAAATTTCCACCGTCTCCGGCGCAAGACCTAAATTTAGCCGGTTTTACGAGAGGTCTGGCAGGCGGCCGGGAGCCTTAACGAGGCTTTAAAAAGCTCGTCAAGTCGAAATATCCCGAAATAACCGATCCGGCGTCGCCTTCGCCGGGAGGAGGACGAGGAAGAGGCTCCTGCTCTTCCTCCCCCGCGGGAGTTGGGGGTCGCAGGTGGGGGGGGAGGCGGCGGGTGACGGTGAAATGGAGCTTTTCGGGAGCTTTGTCCGGCCCCACGGTGAGCCCTTGGGGTTCCCAGGTGAGTTTGGAGGCGTTTGGGGTAGGGGGGTCCTCAGCAAGCCATGGCTGTGACCCCCCCCAAAACCTGTGCAGCAGCTCGTTCCGGGAGCGCGGGCGCGGTGAAGACTTTGGGGAACACTTATCAGTTCACAGTGGACGTCAGCGACTTCGCCCCCGAGGACATCGTCGTCACCACCTCCAACAACCAGATCGAGGTGCACGCCGAGAAGGTGGGTGCTCCCTCCCTGCCCTGCTCACTCCCGAGCCGGGGGGACCCCAAAATCCTCGACCGGTGGACATGGGGACCCCCCCAGCTCCCACGCAACAGCCGCAGCCCCAGCGGGGTTTCATTCACCATTAATTAATGGTGACCGCAGGGAATAACGAGCCCCCAGTCCCGCTTGCACCCCAAAACCACCCCTTTCTCGCCGTTTTTTCCCCCCAGCTGGCTGCGGATGGCACCGTCATGAACACCTTCACCCACAAATGCCAGCTGCCCGAGGACGTGGACCCCACGTCGGTGTCGTCCTCGCTGGGGGACAACGGCACGCTGACCATCCGTGCCCAGCGCCGGCCGGCCAAGCACTCCGAGCACGTCCAGCAAACCTTCCGGACTGAGATCAAGATCTGAGGGGTCCGGGGGGCTCTTCCCGCCCCCCCCTCCCCTCCCTCGTTAATGATTTGGGCGCTTTGGGAAGGAGGTGGGATGTGGGGTAGGGAATGGGAGCGCTCCCTCTGCCCTGGGGTCAGACCTGTCCTGAGCTGCATCCCGGCACCCACCGGAGAAACTCCGGAGGGGAGTCCCACCTGCAGCAGTTTTCAGCTGGCGCGTGTTGAGGGGGAAGATCCAGCGTGCCAAGAGTTCCCCCCGGGAGCCAGGTTCCCTTCCCAACCCTCCACCGGAGCTTGTCTTTGTATATACAGCTTGGGATAAATTATTTGAGAACGTCTGCCTGCTGCCTGCTCCGTTTTGTCACGTTTTCTTGATGTTTTACCCCCACCCCGGGCTGTGGGTTCAGCCCTGAGGGGCGTCTCGGGAAGGGGTATTCCACCATCCCGACGAAATCCCGCACCAGGAGCGGCTCCGGCGCCCGCTGCCCTGTTTATTTCCAGCCCGGGGTGACTCATTTCTTCCCCACCGCTCTATTTCTGAGCCATTCCCTCAGCTGTTCGGCCGCCGACCCACCTGGAAGGGCACCAACCCCTCCCTCTCCCCTCGCCCACCCCCCTTGGGATGCCCCCCACGAGCCGGGATGACGGTCCCGGTGTGGCCCTCAAACCCCAGGGCTTCTTTCTGGGGGCCCGAAATGTCCCCCCACGGGCCTGGCTCCATCTCCCTGTGTGTACAAACAACACCGAGGCGCCAGTTCGGGCCGAGGGACTGTTTATAGAAAGCACAGAGCGCTCGGCTCGTGTTGCCGCTGCCGCTCCAAGGGCAGCTCGTTCCCGTTCATCCCAGAACGACTCGTGACTCCCATCAAACACCTGCAGCGGCCCGAACACCCGCCCTCACCTCCTCGGGTGGCCTGGCTCTCGCTCAGGGGGACTCCCCGCCGCGGGGAGGATGGTTACAAGTTATTAATAAGGCTATGAATTAAGTTGTTAGTGGCTATAAAAGCTGGGGAGATGCGCTGCCCTTGATCCTCGGCGATGGGACGGGGCCGCTCCGTCCCAAAATGTCACCCCGGCGCTCATGCCGTGGTCACTGGTTGCCATCTAGTGGCCCTCGCCCGGGGAGATGCAGTGGAAGGAGGAAGGAAATGGAAAAACCCACATTATTTCTCCTCAAATCGGTTGGGTTTGGACAGCGGAGATGTGGAGAGGGATGGGTCAGATCCCAGTGCCGAACACGGCCTGCAACAGCTGCGTCCCACTTGGGGCTCGTTTGTGGCAGGAAAGCTAGGGAAAAACCCTGGGATCAGTTTTGGGAGCAGTTTAATATCTTTATGCAATGATCTGGATGAGGGAACCCAGGGGCAGTTCCCAGGGGGCACCAAGCGGGCCGTGGATGTGCCGGAGGGCAGGAGCTCCGCGGAGAGGGCGGCACAGGCTGGATCCAGGGACAGGGCCAAGTGCCAGGTCCTGAACCTGCGTCGGGACAAACCCGTGGAACGCTCCAGGCTGGAAAGCCGGGACAGCCCTGGGGGTGGCGGTGGCAGCGGCCGGACACGAGCCGGATGTGCCCGGGGGAAGAGGCCGATGGGCCCGGGGGGGGCTCAGGATCAGGGCAGGGCCCGTCCCTGTGCTGGGCACCTCCAGCCCCGGGGGCACCGCTGGGACCCTCTGGACAAGGAGGACACGGAGGGGCTGGAGCGTGTGCAGGGAAGGGAACGGAGCTGGGAAGGGGCTGGAGCAGCAGGAGGGGCTGAGGGAGCTGGGGGGGCTCAGCCTGGAGAAAAGGAGGCTCAGGGGGGACCTTCTGGCTCTGCAATCCCTGACAGGAGGGGTGAGCCGGGGAGGGTCGAGCTCTGCTCCCAGGGAACAGAGCCAGGACGGGAGGACACGGGAGGAGGCTGCGTAAGCTGCAAACCGGGGAAAACTTTCATGGAAAGGGCGCTCAGGCACCTGAAGGGGCGGGCCGGGGCGGTGGCGGAGTCCCTATCGTTGGAGTTGTTTACAGCCCGTGCGATGCGGCCGTTGGGGACACGTTTAATGACAAACACGTTTAATGACAAATACGTTTAATGACAAACACGTTTAATGACGGACACGTTTAATGACAAACACGGAGCACAAGGAAGCATCCCCGGCCCTTCCCCTCACGGCCCCCCGCCCCGCACTGTCATGGCGGCGCCGCTGGGGCGGCGGGAAGGGGGGCAGGGCACGTGACCGAGGGCGACGCCGCTTCCGCCCGGCGCCAAGATGGCGGCGCCCTTTGTCTGGCCGGTGTCACGGTGAGGGCCGCGGGCCGCGGGCGAGGCCCCGCCGGGCCCGGCATGGCAGGTACGGCCGGGGGGGCCGCCGGGCCGGGGGGAGCGGGGTGTTGCAGCAGCTAGAGAGGGCTTTTGAGAGGGAGGGGTTGCTGCGGCCCGGCTCGCCGGTGTGCGGTTCGGGGTCACCCCGGTGCGCGGCCCGCGGGTGTTCGAGGGGAGGCTGCGGGGGGGTTCTGCTGCCGGGGCCTGCGGGACAGGGGGCTGCCGGCTGTGCTGAGGGGAATGACGGGCTGTCGCGATAGGAACGGGGCGCTGCCAGCTCTCGACAGGGGCACGGGGGGTCGGTGGGAGGAACGGGGGGCTCCGTGTTGTGGTGAGGGCAGCGGGGCTGGGGGCTCTCGGGAGGGGAGCGGGGCCTTCCTGGATGTCGGGAGGGGAATGAGGGGCTGTCGTGACAGGAATGGGGTTGTCATGACAGGAATGGGGCTGTCACGAGGACAGCAAGAGGGTCCTGCCCATCGTCAGGGAAACGGGGGCTTGTGGCTCCAGCCCCACCTCCCCAGGCTGTCCCTGCCCTCTGTGACCCCCCCCAGCCCTGGGGGCACCAAACCCCTGTCCCCACCCCCTGAGCACACCCAGAGACCCCCATGAGGGACAGGCAGTGGGGCTCAGACACATCCCCACCCCCCCCAGCTGTCACCCTCGCCCGAGGGACAGGGAAAACCTCCGGAAGAACAGGGATTCTGCCCTAGTGTGGCGTGTTTGGCGTGGGGACAGCCCACGCTGGCACCGTTTCCCGGACAAGCTGCATTTCCTCGGTGTCACTGCTGCATCAGAGGCTGCTCCCAGAATTCCAGCCCTCAGCCAGCATCCCAAGGGCAGTTTTTTTCGGCCCGGGGTGGGGGTTTCAGGGCAGAGCTCGAGCTCAGGTGATGTCTCAGCGTCCAGAGCTGCAGCAGAACATCCCTGTGCCTGAAATCCCAACAACCAAGGGATCCTTGGGATGTCTGTTCCCTATGGAGTGTCTCTGCTCATCCCCCTCCTTGTGTCTTTCTCGGTTTAGTTCCTTTCCACCCCATTTTTTCCCCCTGTTTGTGATTGTTTCCCCCTCCTCACAGCTCGCCCTCCACGAGCTCCACAGCCCTTCCCTATCCCACGATCCATATTATTACCCCCTCCTTGGCTGCTCTGCTCAGATCAGCTCCTAACCTGACTTTTTCCCGTGGAAAACCTTGCAGAATCTGTTCCTGGAAATGAGGACAGAGCCCTGTGGGCAGAGGCTGCGAGGGTCGGGGCCACGCCGTTCCCTGAGCTGACACACGAGGAGGGAGATGACGGTAGGCAGGAAATAAACCCCCTCTTCCCTTTCATCTCCCCAGGAATGGATGGCTGGGTGGTGAAAGGCAGTGTTTAAACCACAATTCTTTCCCAATTTTTCGAGGCTTTGGGGTTTTCAATAGGTTCATGTGGCAGGGATGGGGAGAGGTTGGTGTTGTTAATTAGGGAGAGCTTAACGGAGCTGGCGTGGGAAGCTCCCTGGGACTGCAGCTGCTGTATCTGTCTGTGTGTGGTGGGCGTGGGCGTGCTCATAATGAACTTTTCCATGATTAATTGGATAATGAGATGCTCAGCAGCCACATTGGGAGGGGAATCTGCTCCCAGGGGGTGCCCTGCCCTGAGTCGGTGACTTTGCACCTCAGCGCCTTCGACACACGAGGTTTGGGGGTTAACACAGACATTTTCACCCCGTTTTTCCCAGGATGGCTGCGTAGAGACTGACCTGGACACCTGGACAGGGGGAATCTCTGGAGCAGAGACACAGCCCTGTGGCCCTGGGTGCTCTGCACAGCTCCGGGGTGAGCCCGTCCAGCCCGGGGGTTGGGGCCTGGGGTTTGGGGTGCTTAAAGCTTGGGGGTGTCAGTGGCTAAAGGGGATCCTGGCTGCTGGGGGAGGCTGACACAGCTCACCCAAACCTGCCTGCTGCGCTCCTGAGGAAGCTGGAACGGGAGGCTGTGGAGGGACCACGGGAAGTACAGGAAGCGTTTTGGGAGGAGTCAGATATTCTGGGTTTTTACTTCCTTCTCAAAGCTGGGAAGCGAAGCTGAGGCGAGCCCAGTCCTGGAACGTTCAAAATCATCATTCAGACGTGAAGTGCCTCCCAAAAATTCCCAAAAATAGGCTTTTAGTGCCTCAGACCATCGTGATTCCTCGGGTCCCGCTGCGCAGAGCTCTCCGAGCACGGAATGCATTGTTTATCCTGCTGGGAAAATCCTCCTCCTTCTCTCCAGAGCTTTGCAAACCATAGATGGCCATACTATGTGGTGGTATTTGGATGAGTATTTTCATCCAAAGTGCTGATTTTCCTGCCTCCCAGGGGAGTGTTTTGGGACAGGCTGGGGAGTTTGGTTAACAAGGACCCCGTGGTTTGGGGAGAAAGTTGTGCAACGAGTTCACTGCAACAACAAGCAGGAGTGGAAATTCCTCTCTCCATGTGTGATCTGATGCTGTTGGAGATGTCCTGGCTTTTCAGCCATGCTGGGAATGCCCTTGGAAGCTGAACCAATCCTTGGGTGGAAGATCCTTCCCTCAGTGTGTTGCTGGCACCTGCAGCTGACAGGAGGAGGCTCCCTCTGACTGTGCTGCTCATGCTCCCACTGATCCAGGGGAAGGGACAGGAACTGGAAGTGCCTGTTTTTGTGGATGCAAACCTTTTCCCAACTGGAGAATTCCCACTTAAGAGCTGGTGTAGTGGAAAAACAACTGGCACGGGCTGGAAGCTTTCAGAGACACTCGAAGCATTGACTCCAGGAGTGCTTCCCAGCCATAACCTTCCTGCTTCAGCATGCAGGGCTTTGGGGCCCTGCTGCTGGAACAATAACTGGGCAGTCCCTGCTTCCTTTCTCCTCCCTCCTTGCCCAGTCCCTTGAAACAATCCCTCTGGCACAGGAATCACTGCTGGAAGACAAAGCCAAGTGGAAACCCTTCATTCACGTTCCACCCTGCGGGAGCAGCCCCGGAGAGAGCCCGATGTGCTTTGCTGACAGGGACCTGCTGGAAAATGGGGCT